TCAGCATTCTACGTGCATGAGGGCGCCTTTCTGGATCAGGTGGGGTTGGATGCGTCATGCGTCCGCCATTTCGAATGGAGCCACTTTCCCTTCAGACTTCTATTTCTTGAATTTCTTCGTTATTTTCTTTTCTCTCGGTTTCTGCGGAAGGATGGGCGCGTACTCGGAACGCTGTCTCACCGAGCAAGCGGGGCCTACCCCAGCTCATTACGGTCTTCATCCGAATACAACGCTGTCTGGCCTAACCCAGCTCGTCACGGTCTTCACCCGAATACAACGCGGTTAGACTCACCGAGCAAGCGGCCTTACCCCAGCTCGGTACTGGGTAGGCACGCAACTGGCATTCAGGAAGTTGTGGGTTCAATCCCCACTACGCAAGTGGCATTCAGGAAGTCGTGGGTTCACTCCCCACTGACCACCTGCCACTCGAAGTTGCCTCAAATACAGCTATAATGACGGTACGTTGTATTGGGCGAAGAAGGGTAGGCACGCAAGTGGCATTCAGGAAGTCGGGGGTGAAGAAGGGTAGGCACGCAAGTGGCATTCAGGAAGTCGGGAGTTCAATCCCCGCAGACCAACTGCGACAATCTTGGTGCCAACCAACTGAGATGGTTGTGTCTTGCTCCGCCCGTGAGGTATTGTGGTATGGTCTTTGTTTATCACGGGTGTGTGTGTGTGTGTGTGTGTGTGTGTGTGTGTGTGTGTGTGTGCGTGTGCTGTGTGTGGGACAGTGCTGGGGATGGACAGTGCTGGGAATAGACACTGCTGTTACTCGATGGGGGGTGGGGGAAGTTGGTTGGAGGTGTTCTTTGTTTATCACAGGTGTGTGTGTGTGTTGTGTGGTGTGTGGGACTGCTGGGGATAGACATTGCTGTCACTCGATGGGGGCGGGGGAAGTTGGTTGGAGGCGTAGCTACTGGCAAAATGCTCGGTTAACGCAGGAGGTCGTGGGTTCAATCCCTAATGACCACCTGCAGCACTCTTGGTGTCAACCAACCGAAATAGGTGGCTTGCTCTCCCCGTTCTGTATTGGCAGGGTCTTTGGTCATCATGGGTGTCTGTGTGTGTGTATGTGTCGGCTGTGTGTGCTGTGTTGGAGAGTGCCGGGCATAGACACTGCTGTTACTCTATGGGGCCAGGGGAAGTAGATGGAAGGTGCAGCTAGTGGGAAAAGACTCGTTGTTTGCGTTAGCCCCTATCGGCGGCCCCACCTTACTCCCTGACCACCACGGCTAGTACACGGCCCCAGCCTTGCAGAAAGTTTTTTGTCGCCACAAGCAAAACTCAGAGGCGCTGCGTGGCCAGGCCAGCCATTGAAAAAAAAAATCTGCCGCATCCGAAGTGGTGCGGGTTTCATGCTGACATCCGCGGGCCGATAGGTGGTGTACTGCTTGTTTGATTGTGAGAGGTGGCTATGCCTGCAGTGGTCCCCTGTATAGGCTTAGGAGTGGTGCTAGGTAGATAGTGAAAGAACCTCTCTCACCGAGAACTTATTCCCCCCAATCCCCCCCCCAACAAGTTT